AAAACTTCTTGTGACCTTAAAGTCGAAGTTCAGATCGGAAGGCCGCCAGTTAGAATCAAGGTAGAGGTGGTCAGTTGTGCCGGAAATTGAAGAGAAAAGCACGGGGAACGGCCCAGAATCCGAGAAATGAGACCGTTCTCTTGCGCCGTTGATTTCCGCACTGATATGACTCTCATCGTTGATGCCCTATGCAATGCTAACGCTCTCTCTGCTAAACGGCTAGAGGCCTACGCGAGTGGTAGCCGGTTGATGGGCGTTCCGCGCCGTAGCGCCGCGGGAACCGGCCATGCAGATTGTGGAAGGCATATCCTTCGGTGCGAATCGTGTGACGTTTCACATCCTGGGGTCCACCTGGGTTTCCTCTAGGTTAGTTTCCCCTTTTTCGACCTTCGACCTTCGAGCTCATCATGAATTATGAAGAGACCGCTCAGAAGCTGTTCAGAGTTTGCTTTAAAGGACGAATTCACGCTGGAAAGGCAACCCATTTCAAATTAACTTAGCGATGGTGAGTGGTACACTAAAAGAAGGAAAACCATGAGAAACGGCCCAGAACCCGAGAAATGGGACCCCTTCCTTGCCCGTTGATTTGAGCATTGATGCGACTATCATCGCTGTGCCCTCTTCAACACGCTCTCTCACCTATCTAATCACTCGCCACGTATAGACCTGCGGCGAGTGATCAGATGATCGGTGGGCGTGCACTGGCCCACCGCGCCAAGATTGAGCCTAATAGGTCGCCGAGGTCAACTCTTTCGGTGCCAATTGCGCTTCAGTTCGCACCCTCAGGAGGTCCGCGGGTCCCTCAACTAGGTGAATTACTTCCTTCTTCGACCTTCATTCTAATCGTGAATTCGTCCTTTAAGTGTGGGTTTTTTTCGCCGCGTCTCAAGCGTGGACCTCCTCTAAATATGGACGTCACTAATAAGATGATGATTTTTGATGACCTTTTTTGCTCCTTTTCGGAAAGAAGTCTAGCATGGATATCCTGAAACGTTTTGGCTAAGGCACCTACATCTCTGAACTGCACGTTTTGACAGATTTCATCACTCCCTCTGTTAAGTTGTTCACGCTCCTTCCTAAAGCAAACTCTGCAAAAAAGCCTCTGGGCGGTCTCTTAAAGTGGTGCTAATTATATATGATTTGATTTCAACGAATGGGCTTTGCATGACGCCTGTATTGCATAAAACCTTTATTCCTAGGCTTCATCTGTGTCGAGGTCCTGGGAAATGCCTAATCCTGCATCTTCCAGTCAATTAGTTATTTAAATTGAAGCAAAGCAGATTTTATTTCGATTACTAGTCAAATTAATTGTTCTTGTTTAAAGTATTGAAACACATTTGTTGTATTTGAGTTTGCAGAGAATGGACCGTCAATAGATCAGGTTGTTTATCTGCAACCGTACGAGGAGGGTTGGGGAGACGAGTACAAGCTGAAATACGATCGTAGACCTTGTATCGATGGCTCTCGATTTTATCAACAACGAGCCGACGGTTCTTGGTGATTCCTTAGTCATTTACGGATTTTTCTCAGTTTTCGTGTGAATGCACGAGGCGTAATTCAGGCGCGGTTGGTTTTTCTCCTATGAAGAAGTTCATGCGAAGAAGTTCGAGTGCATATCTATTCAAGGCGATTCGGCGACGTTTAAGGACCTCATTATAAGCGAATATCCTACCCAGTCAGTACGTTTCCTTCCTTCTCATAGTGCTTTGCGCACTTGGAAATCGCTTTCCCTTCCAGGACGAGCATCTTCTTTGATCGAGGTGAGGCGATTCTCCACCAGCATTATGGCGATGTTTATTACTGGGAAGCGCGACGGAGCATGCGTTATGCCAAATACCTCATAGAAGCTGGAAATTCTTCAGACTGTCCGCGCTGCTGTCACTTGGTCGCCATTCCCTGAACTTCTGAAGCCTCTGCCAAGCAACGTATTGCTTTTTTTTTTCCGTCGGGTTTTGCTGTCTCTCTCAACAATCGAAAAGTGGAACTTTGCGCGGAGGAGACGATGGTCCGATCCCGTGTAGAACTTCGGAACAACAGCGACGTCGGTCAGGCAAAACCTTCGATTGAAGATGATGTGGTCTATCTCGTTATGGAACTGTCCATCAGGTGACTCCCAAGTCCAACGAAGGTGAGGGGGCTTTTGGAACTGTGAGTTACCATGGATGGTGTTGGTCGACATGATAAACTCCGACAGTCTCTCACCCTGCTCATTCCATTCCATTCCGTGAGTACCGATGTGAAGTTCTTCAGCCGTTCTTCTTGGGCCAATCTTAGCGTTGAAGTCGCCGACGATGACCTTGAAGAAGGTATGATCTTCCTGTAGAACTTCTCCAATTCCATATAGAATGCTTCGTGTTCTTCTTCGTCGTAGCTGGATGTTGGTGCGTAGGCGACGAAGATTGTCAAAGCAGGAGTTGAACCACATCTTCTCAATCTCAAACGTCCGATTCGGGTCGTAAGGCTTTCGTACGAATCGATGTTTATGGCCAAGTGCGTGTTGACGAGGACACCCACACCGCCAACGCCTCTGCTGTCGCATGTTCCAAGGAACAGTTCTTCTCCAGTATCGAAAACGGCGTGTAGCGGGCGGTGCCTTCTCGTCTCGGTCAGTCCGATGACGTCGTACTTGATCTTCCTGGCCTGCATCATCAGATCTTCGATGTGAGCTTCGGATGCAAGCGTTCGTGCGTTGAAAGTACAGATCGCCATCTTAGTCCTTCTTCGTTTAGGCAGCCTATCCGGGCCCTGAGATTCTAGCAGCCTCTCCCGAGCGGTCCTACCCAACGCTGCCGTATTGGGGGCTCCCTCAGGTTCAGGGGAATGAGGCCCATCCATATTGCTGTTTTCGGCATATTGAAGGCACACGAGTAGCTTGCCAGGCTCTGTCGTGCGGGCTAGGATAGACCTCCAGGTAGTTAGCCACGCTATCCTGGAGCGGAACAAGGGGCTTATTTTTTGGAGGCGGCCCCGAATCGCCTCCCATGTACTTCCCAGTCACTTGAATGCAAGCTTTTGGCTGTGCCGACATGCAGGATACCAACCGCACACACACAGAGCGCACCACACACGCAAGCATGCATGGATGCGCCTGAGTGGAGACAGCTGGTATGAATCAACACAGCACTACAGAAACAGGGAGTCCATCCCCTGAATCCACCTGCGTCTCAGGGCAAGTACATGGTGGCTTTTGGTCCGCGATTTACCCCCTATCCGCCACCTGGGGTCGCGCCACGTAGCCTCGCCACCAACCGGCTCGAGATCTTTCAGTGAGAGAGGACCCTCAGTGAAAGAGATCCGTGGTTATGCCTATAGAAAGAGCAAATCTTCTAGTTTATGATGACGTATTAACTTTCCAGATTGCATGAGTTTGAACGGAGTTATGGCTTTGGAAAGCGTAAAAACTCGCACTCATCACGAATTTTCCTCGTTAATTTTGCAAAAATCCTCAACGTGGCCATTTTTTGAGTACTGGACGTATGAAGCTGCTTTAGCGACCGTTTGATAGAGAAAATCTTCTAGTTTTGTATGACGTATCAACTTTTTGAATTTGACGGAAATGAAGCAAGTTATTGCTCCGGAAAGTGTAAAAACTCGTGCTCGTCTCGAATTTTCCTCGTTATTTGATCTAAATTTGTATTTCTTATAACTTCCTGTAATTTCAGTACTGATTAGAAAAAGCTCTTCACAAAACTCCAAATCAGCTTTCAGATTGAAAATTCGTTAACTTTGAAGAAAGTTATAATCATTTGAATATTTGTTCAAATTTCAATAGTAAATAAGCTGCTCCACGGTCAACGCCAAAGTCCAGTCAACACACAGCTGGCGAAGGCTTTTACAAGGCTTCCTTTGAGCGAAAGGGGGACGTGTAAATTGAGAACCATAATCTGTGTAGTACTAGAATTTGGTAAGTCTTGTGGAGGAAATAAACAAAGAAGAGGTGTTGTCATAGTACGCCATTTCTAGTGACTAGTTTGACGTTTTTTGCTCCGTTTCTCGTTTGCTCGTTTGACAGGACTCGTCATTAATGATCATTCTTTGACTTTTTCACTTTTATACTTTTTAAACGAGTTTTTTTGTGGACGATGGGGTAGCAGGGCTTTTTTATGAGCAGTTTTGGTGGAGAATTAAACAACTTTTTCATAGTTCGGCTTTTAAAGAGGGTTGTTTCATGGACTTCGGCCTTCGGCAGAGGGAGGGGGGGGGTCGTATTTCCGAATTTTCCTCGACGCCTCGCTTGACCCTGCACCAGACCCACTTTTAAGCCCTTATATAGTGGTAGAAGTGCGTGGGACGCAACTGCAGAAGGCGCGCCACGTTCCTGCATCGAAACGCGTCACTAAGACGCTAGACGTTAAGGATTTGACACGCTCCACCTGCTGCGACACGCTCCGCCCACCGCTCGATATCTTGTCTGCGTCGCTGAATTTGATCTGCTATGCTCTCTCTACTCGTACTTCTCTAGCGCTCTCCGCGCTCACATTATCTCTCATCTCCCTGCCGGCCTTTTGAACTTCTCCGCAACCTCGAGCAAAAGGCTCGTATTTCCTGTGTATTTTACGAATGTTTTTCCTTTTTTCTCCATTGGCAGTCCACTTTCCACCCCTACTTCACATTTGAGTAGAATTTCCCCATCAATTTAATCCTGAATCTTGCCTTTAATATTTCAACTTCGAGCTCATTCGTTTTGAATTAACGCAACGTGTCTTTAAAGTTGAATGTGAGGGGTGACTTTTTTGCCCTTCCTGTACATTCACATAACTTCTGAACGATGCTTAAACGGAGTCCTGAAGCGAAACACTGCAATAGGTACTAGTCGGGGCCACAGTCAAGACGCCGTAGGATCGATCCCTTGTCGTGTTTGCTACTTTTGATTTCTCGGGAAAGTAGCTAAAACGGCATTTAACAACATTGGCTGTATACAGTAAACATGGAAGGGATCGATCCTACGACGTCTCCTCTGTGAGTCTCGACACTACCGTTGCGCTGTTTTGCTTCAAACTCCGTTCAGAGAATGTTTAGCAGAATCACGAGGTAAATTTGAGATCAGCGTTCGAAGGCACATCCAGACGATATGTACAGGGAAGGAGGGGGGGGGAAAAAAAAAGACATTTTGCGTATGTCGCACTTCGGCACTTTTTTCTTCACACAGATTGCCGTCGTTGACGGAAACTTCTCAGCCAAATATTCCCTAAATGCTCCTTAATAAGAAGACGGAGACTCTCATTCATTCACCCTCACGGTCTTCAGAATATGACGTCATCTGTCATCGTCGTCGAGCTCAAGGTGGCCTACCGTGGCTGCTTCAGCCTGAGGCTCTTATCTAATTCTTTGAATCGATTCAGTGTGGAGCTAGATTTTCTATGGGGGCATTCAGGGACATCAGGGACATTAGCTCTAACTATGCAAACCCCCTCGGAACCCTCGCTCTCAGGAAACCCGTCGTAATGGTACACTATCAGTCAGGGACCCCATTGAGCTCGACCAGTGCACCATGTTTCCAGGACAAATTTTTCCTGATGCCGTCCACGTAGATGGCCACTATGGAATGAAATGTGCTCTTCAGTTCTAACGAAAGTTGCGGAGAACTCGCTTGGAATTGAGCAAAGTGTGATTAGTCCGATCAATGTAGGAGATGTAATGTCTTTTTTATTTTTGTCCCTCCCCCCCCCCCTCCCCCTGTATATTACTGAATGGCCATGCGATCTGCGATCCATTCTTCGCAATTTTGTGGTCAGAATCTTGAAAACGCTGCACTAGTTACCTGAAGA